CCCAACAAATGGCTCCTTACTCCTCTGTCTTCCCCACTAGGCTCCAGCACTCAGGGACGGGGTTCTGTTGCAACCCTTGCACCCCCAGCTCCAGCCTTGGCTCTGGATGAAGGCTATGGGCTTCCCGAGGCCCTGGCTGGTGGCCCTGTGCTGGCCTCTGGGAGCCCCACGGAGCCAGCGGTGATAACATCGCTCTCTTGAATAGCAAACTGGCAGGAGGATAGGTTGGCTGGTGCTGATTTTGATGCTTCAAGACCTAATCTTTGCTTATTTCTTACTACTTTAGAGCTTCCATCGAGACGTGTGAAAATTTCCCCTAACTCAATTAGATGTGGAGAAATCACCCATCAAATAATTCTGATGATAAGGAAATCTGGTTAGTGTCAGCAGTCCTCCAGCATTAGACTGCCCTTCCTGCTCTGGTTTGGGGTTCGTTTTTTGTTCCCTTATATCTCATTGCGTGGTAACAATGGCAGTTTCCAGGGCTGCATTTGATAAACAATTTCTAATTCTTCTCGCTGCATATGACCAGGAGGGAGTGGCCAAAAAAGGGGGCGGAGCTGCAAGTTAATTTCGTAAGCTTCCTTTGGCACGAATATGTTGTCTGTCCAGATTATTTCTATACCTTTAGAAGTAATTATTCCAACGGAAAGCACCTCAGCGTGCTGCCGACGGTTGGAAGTTATATTCTTTCAAGGTACTGAATAATTTACTATAAAAAAGCTCAGAGCCTCCACCAATAGGACATTGGAGGTCAACACAAGTCCAGCACAGCAGTTTGCGGGGGGCTCATGACAGACGATTGAGCTGTGCCCCCATTGAGGCAACAGATACTTACGAGCCCCCATTGGAGCAGAGCCCCTAGTAGGTTTCACGCAGGGCAGAGGACGGCTAGCTCCCTTGTGCACGCATGCATGCAGGGGGCTCATCATCGAAGACCATGGCCCTCCGTCCTGGCTGCTCATCAGAATCACTTGGAAGCTTTTAAAACATGAGGTCTGAGCTCATCCTTAGAAATTCTGGTTTCCTGGTGCCGGTGGGGGACCCAGGCATCACTGTGTTTTAAAGCTCCCCAGCCTTCCCCCCGTGTTTCTGATCTGTAGCCCAGGTGGAAAACCCCAGTTCTAGGAGATGGGATGAGTTCTTCAATTTTTATCCTTGCGGAAACAGGTCGGCATCTGAGCTGACACTGAGCAGTCAGGCTTCCATCTCGTTTCCCTTTGCCACCTTTATTGTGTTTCCTCACGGTAGACACCAAGCCGGGGGTTGGAGGCGGCCCATCAGCACGTTACACGGAGGAAACAAACCGATGGCCTTGATGCCGTAGCTGCCCTGCAGGCGTATTGACTGCGACCTAAACCAAGGTTTAACGGTCTGGGCATTTCATATGCAAATCTGGATTTCCGGCCTCTCTATGAAAATTAGATGATAAATAGAATGGCACCTGGATCCCTACAGGGCAGCAGTTGGCTGGTCTGGCCACTGGCCGACCGTTTAGACAAGACATTTGACCCCCACTTAGTCACTGTCCCCACCGCTGGCCACTCCTTTGTACCTGCACCATTTTTCTTATCTATTCCCTGTCTGGTTCCCAAAGGCTTGGAGTTTGCAAACCCTCTCACATAGCCTGGTCCCGTTTGCCAGATGGATTTATAAGTCTGTATTCATTCTGGTGATGGCTTGTCAGAGGGGGCTGTAAATATTCTGAAACCAATCTCTCTTGGGCCATGGCCCCTCAGGACAGCTAATACATCGCAGGCCCTGGGCGAGGCATTAGAACTATAGAGATGACTAAGTAAGGAGCTCATGTTTACTATCATATGGGACGTAATCTGTTCATACAGTTATGAACAAGGGACCAGCCACGAGCAGCGGCTAGCCCGGCCTTGCAGTTAGTAGTAAGTGAAAATAGCATGTTACAAAACTGTATCTAGGTCATGATCCCTTTTAGTCAAGAAAAAGAAAAATCTAAACACATGTATATCTTTGAGTTGGAAAAAGATTAGAAAGACAGCCAGCCATTCATAGGTTACCTCTGGCTGGGAACTGGAAAATTAACGTTTATATATATCTTTTGCATTTTCTGTGTATTTCTAAATTGTCTAAAATGGACATACATCTTTCTTCTAATCAGGAAAAACTTTTTTATTTAAAAAAAAAAATTGAATGTGAAAGGTTAGGTAGTTACCTTCTATGAGAAGGAAGCAGATACGTAGACAACTTAGTGA